CCTGCACCTGAGCCTGGCCCAACCTCACCTGTTTCCCTGACCCAGGTGTCCCTCTTCAGTCACCTGCTGGCTGGGGCCTGTAGCTTCTCTTGTCTGCCTTAGGCAAGCAACCTGCTCCCTAGCACCTTTCCTTCCCTCCAATGGCCACAGACCAGGTAAGTATCCTGGCTCTGGGGTGGGGGTGGGGGGTGAGTCTGGCCATAGGCTCCCATCCAAACATTAATTAATTAAAAATATTTATATCTCACCTTTCCCTTATGGCTCAAGGCAGCTTACAGTCCCAAGATTAAAAACAAACAAGCAGGAACCCTCAAGGACTTGCAGGAGGCATCTCATTTTCCCCTCCTCCACTGTTTCCTCCGTCCCTTTCCTGAAAGCCCCCATAGGCTCTCCCCTTTTCCTGCTTCCTTCTGTCTTCCCAACCAACAGCCAACCTACCTTTATCTGCCCCTCTATCTTCAGCTTTCCCTCTTCCCCACATAGCAGCCTCTACCAAGGAAAATTATGGTCCAGTTGTGGGGTGCTGGTCACTGGGCCAGGCACCCTTGCATGACAGGGAACGCTCAAGGGCTTGTGGTAGGGCACCACACTTTCCTCTGTATCCCCCTCCCTGCACTATTTCCTTGTTCCCTCCTCCTGGCAACACCCATATCCTCTCCCCGCCTCATTACTCTTCTCAACCATTCACCAATCTACTTTTTATCTGCTTCCCATACCCAGCTGCATTTATTATTTATTTACTTTATACCTTGCCTTTCTCCACAGTGGGGACTAAAGCAGTATATATTATCCTTCTTTCCTTCTTTTTGTCCTCAGAACAGCCCTGTGAGGTAGGTTAGGCTGAAAGTATGTGACTGGTCCAAAATCACCTAGTGAACTTCCACATCAAGATGAGGATTCAAATCTGGTTCTCTAGACTCTGCTCTGAAGCTCTAACTGCTATACCGCACTGGCTTTCATAAGGTAGCTGCTGTTGAATAGTAGCAACCAGCCAGGCCTAGCTGAGTCATGCAAGTTGGGTAGTATCAAGTCACTCAGTGGTTGCTGCCAGGTCCAAGCCTGGCCCTGATGAGTCCTCCCTCAAAAGCCAAAGTAGCCCTGGGAAAGGTCTGTGCCCTCTCCTCCTGCCTTTTACAGAAACCGACCTTGGAATGCTGTGGTTGCCTAGCAATGGACACTCGAGGGAACCTGTTTCTTAAAGCAACTGACTCTCTTTTTATTATTTTGGGTTTTTTACAAAACCCAATCACTTTTTGGGGGGGATTTCAGATTTTTCTTCAAACCTGGGCAGTTTTCAGGTTTGTAAGGAAGATTTGTCTTGCCCGTTCATAGCTCTAATCACTAGATTTAGGTATCCTCAGATTTGGCTGACGTGGCTAATAGAACACGCAAGTGGGGACTTTCAAGAAACTTTGAGTGGCCATCCATTCACTGCACCTTTGATTCCTCCACTTCTCTCTGTGTCTACCTCCCCCCTCCTCCTCTCTTACTTTCAGTCTCTCTTCCCTATGTCTGCCAGCATTCCTTCTCTGTTTCTGCCTCTCTCATCCCATCACTCTCTCTGTGTCTCCCCACCCCATCACACACATTCTTCTCTCGCCTTCTTCCCCTTACAGCATTAGTGGCTTGTCTGCTGCCATGGTGGTGGCAGCTGCTTGCCTCCCCCCTCGGCCAGCTTTGCCCCCTCAGCAGGTCTTCACTGCCTCAGTGGCTCATCTGGCTGTGGCTCGTCTGCTCCCTGCCAGCTTTGCTGTTTTAGCAGCTCCTCACACGGCCTCTTTGCTGCCTTGGTGGCTCCTCTGGCCACTCGCCCAGCCGCTTCACTGCCGTGGTGGCGGTGGCTCATCTGCCCCCCTACTAGCTTCACCACCTCAGCGGCATTGCTGGCTGCTCACCCAGCCTCTTGGCCATCTCGGGGGCTGGCTTTGTTGCTTCTGTGCTGCTGCGGCTGCCTGTTGCCTGCCCAGTGGCAGCAGCTTGCTTGGCCCCCGCCCCAGCAGCTTTGCTGCCTTGGCAGTAGCAGGTCCTCACCTTCAGCCCCTGGTCTGTTTTCTGCCTCAGCTGCTCACCCGGCTGTTTGTCACCTCAGTGGCTGTACCAACTCCTCCCCCAACCGCCTGCAGCTTCACTGCCTCAGGGAGTATAAGAGTTGTACACATGCAGACAAAACTACTTGTTTAGGGGTGAATTAAACCCCCCAAGGTTGTTTTTTTTTGACATTTTCAGGTTTTTCTGCAAACCTGGGGGGATCCCCCAAGTTTACAGGAAAATCTGTTTCGTGTCCATGTGTCCCCAATCTGTGGATTTAGATATCCACAGATGGGGGGGGGGGCACATGTCACTATTAAATATATATGTGTGTTTGTGTGTGAGAGAGATAAAATATACTTAAACCCTATTTCCCCCCTCAAGAAAATGCCTGTAGCTTAATATTTCATTACAAGCTCTCACAAATAAAACAGCCCATGGTTTCCTCCCTTCACCATCTCAGGGAGCCTGTTCCACTATATGGAAAGGAGAGGGTTTTTGTAGGTCGCCAAACTAGCTGCCTGAAGCAGAGGACGAGCTGGGGGTGGCAGCCAGAACCCCACAGTCGGGTGAGTTCCTTTTTCAGGCAGGATGCCATCTCTGAGCAACCTTTTGGCCTCCTCTGAGCAACCTTTGTGTTTCTAAAGCAGAAGGCAGCAACTGCAGGCTTATCCTCTGCCCAGTAGCAGGGTGGCTGATCTGCGTCTGTGAGTGCCTCCTTCCGCGCTCCTGTCCACTAACATGAAAGCCACAGGCTTTGACTCACCGCAGGATGACAGCAGAGCTGCCAAGGCAACAGGGCTAAATAAAGACTCTGGTGGAACGGCTGCCACTGCCGCCTTTGTAGTTTTAATATAGCAGAGCTGGTGGCGGACCGGACTCTTTCTCCTTAGGCATTTCCTCCAGAAATCAGCCACCTTCCTGGCCCTGTTCTGGCTTCCAAAGGGACATCCCATTAGAAACAACCTGATTTTAGGCAGGAAGGACTGTTCTGTAGTCTCTCTGTGCAGCCCCTAAAAAAATGAGTGGGGAATTTTCATGAAGGATTCCGCTGTAGATGTTTTCCTCTTTACGCTTTAACTGGGGTTGCACTTATTTTGCAAGTCATCACGGAAGAACTGAGTGTAAAGAAACTAGCTTTATTTGACCAGAGTCTGTGTAAAGTTAAGCTAGCCCGGGAGGCCTAGCAAGGAGAATTGTGGGAACGTGGGTCTCAGAAGAAAGACAGAGATGTACTTAACTGAGATCCAGTTGAAATGGATTGTGCTTGTGCCAAGGCCCTGCCAGCGAGGGAGGGAGAACATTCCTTGATCTTGTTATCAGTCACCTCATTAGAACTAACCTTGAGGAATACTTGCTAATGAAGTGGTTTGGTTCAGCTGCAGAAATTCAAAGCATTTCCTTGACAGTGTCTTGATGTTTGCCTTGTTGGTGGACAACAGGACATAAAAACATGCCATTTTCAGCGTGGAAACTGTTTATTTCACATCCCATGGAAAAGAAGCCCCACAAAATAATAAAGGTGAAATGTTCATTTGGCCTGAGTATGTCTAACCCTGGAATAAGGTTTGGGAAGGATATAGATTTTGAGCAAGAGATAGAGCGGCTGAACAGTCAGAGAAGGAGTGATGGAGATCCAGGTTGGCCTTTTGACTGGTTAAAAACAGTTTGGTCAATCAGCCAGTCAAATGCTGGTGAAGTATTTTTAAAGCCTCCGTTTTATTAAAACAACAGGAAAAATGCATGTTACTTCCTGAAGCAAATCAATGAACAGCTGTTGGGAAACAATGAAATTACTTTCTAATAATTTGCTTTTAACTCTTTAACTAAAAATGTTAGCAGTGTTAGTCATTCTTCTCTTTGTCCGTCCCCCCCCTCCCCGGGCACACCACTATTAGCATAATACCATTTCAATTTATTTTTAAAGCAAAATTCAAACATGACACCATAAAAAGTAGAAAATGTAATCTGCCATCTGTCCAATAGCATTCCTGACTTCAGAAGGTATATGACAGCTGTAAAGAACAAAAACAAAACCTTGTTCTTTGACAATATTGAAACATTATCTGTTAAAATGTGAAGCTGTCTTATGCTGTGCCAGACTGTTGGTCTTGTGACTCAGTTTTGCCTTCTCTGACTGGCAGTGGCTCCCCAACACCAGTCGGTCTTTCCCAACACCCATTACTTGAGATCCAGGGATTGAACCTGAGGCCTTGTGCATACAAAACATTGGCTATAACTCTGACCCACACTCCTCACTCAGAAGAGGTCTGGTGTAGTCTGTGGCTCCGACTAAGCCATGCCTACGTACTTAATCTCTAATCAATTCTCCATAACTCTTTGAAATTTTTGATAACAACACAGTACTCCCTTTCAGCCCCCTTCTGCTGTTTTTTGACTGGTGAACCAACCAGCTTGTCAACCTTAACATGGATTCTGTTAATGGTAAATAACTTCTGTCCCCTGGGGCCTAGTTCTCACTGATGTAGTAAACGGGTTTCTAATCTTCAGTATTTTGGACTGTCTATGAGGGGGCTCACGTAAGTGACTGCTCTCCAGTACAAAACAACTACGCACAAAAACCCAGGAGGTCACCAAAGAGAAAAGCTAGGCAAGAACTCTTCTTGTTACTGTTCTATGTACAGGGATATATATATATATTTTTAATGCAACAAATTTTCCATGCCAGGAGCTTCCACCTGCAAATGCGGCAGCCTAGAAACAAGCTTGTCGTATCAGTAAGATTAAGGTCTTTCACTTCCTTTTGTTTCTCTTTCATATCCTGTATGTGATTACAGTATGACCTCTTTGGGGCAGAGACCTGTTTATGTGGCTGCACACCTGATTAAGTGACACATTCTAGGTTAGTGACAGGGTCTCTGTGCTTGACTAATCTAGCTGCTCTCCAAAAAGTTGCTTACGCTCTGCCTTTAATTCCCATCCTAATGAGAGCTCTTGTGTCTTTATTTCAGATTCCAGCTGCTGCTCACTCTTTTCCTTGGCAAAGATGCCATCCCGAACAAACATTGCGGCTTCAATCCCTAGTAGCAAAGTGAAATATTCCAAGCTCGCCAGTACTGATGAAGGCTACATCGACTTGCAGGTAAAGAGGGAAGTTGGGCTGGATGGCCCCTTTGTCTGGGGAGCACTGATATCTTTGCCCTGCACTCCATCCTCCCTTGCATTCCGTGCTTCTTGGTGGGCTGCCCTTAGCTTCAGGCATATATGCATGGCCGTTCGATACAATTGTCAGATGAAGAATTCGGGGTAATGGAAAGGCATTTGTACTTTAGGACTTGCTTACTCAGTCAAGAGGCACATTGTCCTAGGACAGTGGTGGCGAACCTATGGCACGGGTGCCAGAGGTGGCACTCAGAGCCCTCTCTGTGGGCACGTGTGCCATCGCCCCAGCCAGGCCCAGACCATCATTAAAGTGTTGAATTCTTTGCTAAATAATTTTAAGTAAATGAAAGCATTTGGGATTTCTTTCCTTACTTTGTTTGGATCATCTTAAGTTAACGTCTGAGTTGTTTTTTCTAAAGTAAAACCTCAGTATTCAGGTTAAATTGCCATGTCGGCACTTTGTGATAAATAAGTGGGTTTTGGGTCACAGTTTGGGCACTCGGTCTCTAAAAGGTTTGCCATCACTGTCCTAGGATAACCGCCCCTGTATGACTACCTTGTTACACTACCGGTACTTCTGTGGAATTGTGAACTTGGCCTTTCTAGGGCAGATTGATGCATGTGTGTTTTACCTCTTACACTTTTATCCTGCCCTTAGTTCCTTTGTTATTCTACTTGATGTGATTCTCCCCTCTTTTATTGTAGCTGCAACGGTGTGAGGTAAGTTAGGCTGAAAGCAGCTGAGTTTCCTGGCTGGCTGAGGATTTGAACCCAGGTCTTCCCCTGTCCTTGTGTGACAATCTGAATGCTATACCATATTGGCTCTTCATCTTTTGATGGCTTGTCTGTGTGAATAGGCCATCAGGGATGTCTGTCATCCAATGATGTTGCTTTAAAACACAGTGCAATTTGGTGGAGCTCGTTCGTGCATTCAGACGTATTTCATCCTTTCCTGAGGAGGTCAAGTGAGGAATATGCAGGTGGCAATTATGGACAGCCCTTTTATTTTTTGTAAAGCATTCTTTATGTGATCAAAGGGAGGTCTGTCAGTGGGACTCCTTTTTAAAATGTGTCATCGACCCTTTTTTCAGTCAGCAGTTGGCCCCTTGGATCTGACTGCAAATCAGAATTTGATGAGTATCCAGCCCGGTTAACTCATCTTCTGTAGGGCACAGGATACCAGGCTAGGATGTGGGAGATCCAGTTTGGCTCTCTACTCTGCCATGGAAGCTTGCTGGATGACCTTGGGCCAGTCACAGACTCTCAGCCTAACCTACCACATAGGGTTGTTGTGAGGATAAAATGGAGGAGAAGAGAACGATATAAACCACTTCAGGTTACCACTGGAGAGAAAAGTGGGGTTGAATGTATTACTGTTTATGCTTATTGGATTTTATGTATATGTGACTTATCCTTGAATAAAAAACGACGCAGAAAATAAAAAGCTGAAAAATAAGCCATTACTGTCATATATACATACCCCTTATTCTCCAGTGTCTTTGCTCTTTGGGTTGCTGCTGAGAGTAGATATTTCACTAGTTACTTTGTTCTGCTTGCTACCAGCTGTCCTTTTTTTGCACCTGAAAAACATCTACAATATTAAAATGTGTTAGTTTGGACAAGTCTACTTTTGCTTATGGAGACAACAGAACCAATATGGGCTCCCCCTCCTACTGATTCATAGATTAAATCTCAGGGTTTTGATAGTCTTGCATCTTCACAAGTGGTAATTCTTCTCCAGGGGATTATCTTCGAATTAGAATCGGGACATTAATATGTAACACTAGCATTAATGGAAGTTTTGTCATCACCCACAATACCGCCATGCATGCAGGAGATAATTGGACTATGTGTCATAATTATCTTCTCCTTGTTTTGGGAAGGGGGAATGGCTTAAAAGGTCTGCCTGCCAAAGTTGTGTTCTGGAATCTTTTGGTTAGGGAATAAGAACATGCTCCAATTTTGCCTTGTTCCCTCTTGCTGCCCTCAGATATTTGCAGGAGGAAGATATATTAATACATGTTAGTGAGACCTGGGTGAATAGAAAGCAGCTGGTGGCCTTGCTGTGAAGACCCCTAATATCCTTAGTGGAATTAACATTTTGGAAATCATGTGTCTTTGTTATTGCACTGCTTTTGGCCCGGTTGTTAAAAATGTTATGCTAGATGGCATATTAGACTGATCAGTTTAACATTCATCTAACAAGGCCATGCAAACATTATATGCTTAATAATCCAAATTTGTTGTTCAGTCGCATAGTCGAGTCTGACTCTTCACGGCCCCATGGACCACATCACACCAGGCTCTCCTGTCTTCCGCTGTGCTCCGGAGTTTGCTTAATTTCATGTTTGTTGCCTCGATAACACTGTCAAACCATCTCATCCTTTGCCGTCCCCTTCTTCTTTGACCTTCAATCTTTGACCCAGCATCAGGGTCTTCTCCAGTGAGTGCTCCCTTCTCATTTGGTGGCCAAAGTATTTGAGCTTCAGCTTCTGGCCTTTCAGGGAACAGTCAGGGTTGATTTCTTTTAGGATTGACTGATTTGATCTTCTTGCAGTCCAGGGGACTCTCAAGAGTCTTCTCCAGCACCGCCTGGCCTTCCTTATGGTCCAACTCTCGCAGCCATACATTACTACTGGGAATACCATTGCTTTGACCGTACAGACTTTTGTTGGCAGGGTGATGTCTCTACTTTTTATTATGCTGTCAAGGTTTGCCATTGCTTTCCTCCCAAGGAGC